CTTCGTCAAGATGCATTTTTCCATCCTGGATCTCTCCGACGCCCACGTGGTATTATACTTTCCTTGGAGAAAGCTAAAGTTAAAAAGGCGCCAAGCGGATTACCTTTCAATCTCCCTGGATATAGGTAATTGGTTATTTTGGATGAGTTTTTTTATTTTTGAAGTTGCGATTGGAATCTTTATGAAATGATTCTTTATTAACATAATTTTATTATTGGTATTAATTAAGATATTGCGGGCCTGCCACCGATATTGAGAAGCAGGATGATCTCGGTGGCCCAATAAATGCTGTTGGTAATTGTTGCCCAATTTATGCTCATACACTAACCAAGTCAAATTTGTGAAAATTAATTTTATAATTTTTGTGTTGATATTATTCACAGATGCAGCATGCCGCAAACATGACGTCGATTATTTGCTAGGGGTTCTACCATCAGAGGCAGACGAGGCACTTCTAACTACTGTGCAATTACATCGAAAAGATCTGTTCCCACTTTTTGCGGCCGCAATGAGTGCCAAAAAATATTTCGAAAGTCAAATTGGAGGGTCCTATACATCCTTCTTATATTTCTACCCAGCAGGATTTTATCCCAGTTTAACTTTGCATTTTGCACATGAAACGGTGTACGATAAAACTTCAGCAGGAACACTAACAACTGCTCGTGCCATCTGGGAAGGCCAAGCTCAGGAGTCAAAGTGGATAAGTATTCTGCAAAATATTTGGCTAGGGAGCTGCTACACGGTGGATCCAGAAACTAATGTAAATCCACCGCATATCGATGTAAGATTATATTTTTGCACTATTAATGCTAGCTCAGATTCATCGATTTATTCTCTGAGAGCACAGACGCATTTCATACAAGTTTATCACTTTTAGCAAAAACAGTCTGACATGAATTCCCTCGTCATGCCATGCTCAAATGTGGATGAAATGGACACCAATGCAGACGCACTTGTGAGAAATATTGCAACATATTTATAAATAGCAGCGACCGCGGATGTTGTGGGGGACATCGTGAAATTGTTATTGTAGTAACAAGCTCATGTACGTTTTTGTTCTGATCAATACAGGAGGATGGTGATGGAGATGATGAACGTGGGCACTGTGGACAACGTGAAGAGTTAGGGGAAGGGTCAGCTCCTGGCGGTGAATCACCAATGGACACTTCAAATACAGAGTATGCATCCAAGAGTACAGAAGGTGAAGATACATGTGTGGGAACAGACATTTACCCAACGGCCCCTTACAAAGGGGGATGTAGGATGATTTTGAACGAATTTGCAACCAAGAATGATGATAACCAGATTTCGTTTATTGAACATGTTCGTATTTTCCCAAAAGGCGCTCGTCCTCCAAAAACTAATTCACTTAACGGATTCGTTGAAATAATCCTTGTGGGCGGGATGACTATCCACCAAGTAATGTACGCATCTTTCCAGAACAAGATCTTCTCAATCATACAAGAGAAACAAACTACGCAACGCAAAATAAAAAATTTCTACTTTGTCCTCGGATCGAAACAAGTTGCACCAGATATGTTGTTTTCTGACAGCCAGATTACTAGTGACCATCTCGAAGGAATCTTACCTGCCGAGTCATTGACGTACTGCATAATTTTACTTCACTTCGGACACAATCAAGGGCAATTTCATCAAGCAGTTCAATCTTTTTCACTAATCCAAAATGTTCCACCCGGCAGTGACACGGTAGGCTATCTCCCAACCCCCATAAACGACGAAAAGATGAACCTTATAAACGAGTTCATTCAAGATGTCCTAATTGTTGGTCCTCCTTGTCCGGATTCTGAGTGTGGATATTTCTATTCCCTTCTCAGAGCTAAAGAACAGGTATTGGGGGAAGGTGAAATGCGAATTCCTTTATCTGATGTTCCTAGACGGAATGATGGAACCAAACCTTACCTTAGTCTTTCGAGGTGCAGTCCTACGAGTTTTCCTATGCAACAATTAGCCTTTGAAATTAAGAAAGCAACACCGAAAGCGAAAAACGACTGTAAACAACCAAATACTAAACTCCCATTCCAACTACTTGGTGTTTCACTACAGGCGACAGCTCAAAAGTTAATTGTCAACGCCAAAGTATTCTTTGACAGTAACCAGGTACAGTGTGAAATACTAACAGGAAACTCTGTCACCAAAACTAGCCAGATTCTAGGAATTGGAGAGAGAACAGTTTATCAGACAATGGAGAATTACAAAACGAATAGTATAAAAACACCTGGTAAGAAACGTATTAGACCAACGCCAGTGATGGATCAGTTTGACGACTTCCGAACTGAGCACGTTAAACGAATCATTCATCAATTCTATGCTAATAATCAAGCACCAACAATGCATAACGTATACACAAAACTGATGGAGGAAGTCAAGGAAGAAGAAGATGGTCGGATAGCCCGAGGAGAAACTCCTACAGCGTTCAAATGTTCCAAGTGGACGTTAAGAAAACTCATTAAGCAATTAGGATTTAGATTCAAAACTGTTGATAAGCGAGCAGTTATCCTCATGAGATCAGACATCGTGCAGAAGCGATATGAATATCTGTCCGTAATGATTAAAAATCGTCAGTCCGAGAACCCAAAATGTGTTGTCTACACAGGTTTGGCTGATTAAATATCAAAAATGTTTTAATTTAATTTAATATAATTATTAATGCATTATATTTATTCAGATGAAACGTGGGTCGATAGTTATGCTAGAACTGGAAAAGGCTGGGTTATTAATTCACCAAAGTCATTTCATGAAGCGGCTTTATACACCTTCCAAAACCCGAAAATTTCTAGAGGACCACGTATCATTGTGATGCATGCAGGTGCAGTTCAACTATCCACATTAAATAGGAAATTATTTCAAAATAATAATTATCTTCACAGGTGGAGAGGATGGATTCGTACCTGGCGCTATGAAGGTATATCCAGTATCAAAGAAGAAAGTCCAGATGGATTACCACGCAAACGTTAACGGTGTCGCTTACATGGCTTGGTGGAAGGATCTTAATCAAAAGATAAAAGATAATTATGGTCCATGCATAATTGTTATTGATAACGGTAATATCATCCAATAATTTGTATTTGTAAATTCCATTTTAATTTGAATTTCATTTATTTAAATTTGTCAGCTCCGTATCACAGCACCAAGGAAGCCCCAAAATCTACATCCCGAAAACAAGAGCTATACGACTGGCTGAATGATAATTTAGAGGGCCCTGAAAAGCTGAAACTAAAACCTGTAAAGCAAATGAGACGACCTGAATTATGGAAAATGGTTCAAGACCTTAAAAACGGAAATGAATATTACATTGTGGATAAGGAGGCATTGAAATATGGAAACACTGTTGTCCGGTAAAGTTATTTTCTATTCATGGGTAATTTACTAATAATTTGTAATATTTATTTAAACACTGTATTTACGTATTTTCCAGATTACCCCCATATAACTGGTAAGAACTGGTAATCATAGGTAACGGTAATAAGAATATTCATGTAATAACTATTTTTAGCGACTTGAACCCAATTGAGTACGTGTGGAAAGACATCAAGCACGCAGTTAGGGCTGCAAACACACAGGGGACCGCTGAGTTTGCACAAGCTGAGGCTGAGAGAATTATGACAACATACACAAAGGAACAATGGCAGAAACACATCAAACATGTGCACCGGTTCGTAAAACCAAGATTCGCTATTATGGGAATAATTCGCAATTTCTACATTATTATTGTAAATAGATTGGAGGACGAGTATTGGAAAAATGATGGACATTTTGATGACTTCCTTGATGACTTCCAAACACGTGTAGCTTCAGCCAACCCCATTCGAGTGAGTTCTTGGTGACAGTAAACTATTAGTAAAAAAATACATAACTTATACATAATATACAGATTACAGCAGCAGATGATGTGTCTGACGACGAAGATGAGGACCCTGACGATGTTGACGAAGTAGTTGATAGATTCCGAATGCAAATACACAATGATATTGAATACTCACAGGCTGGGGAAGAAGAAGACTTGCCTGAAGAAGAATGTGCAACTTCTAGGAGGAGATTAACCTTCCCACCAGAATCAACCTAGATTTTAACTTCAATGGATTCAATACATAATAAATATTATAAATAGTGAATCCGATTTGTACATAGTGTTAAGAATTATTATTCATTAAATTTGTACCAAATTTTCAAAAATATGCCTACCCCTCTCTACTTAACATTCTTGCAAAACTGAAAACTTTAAAATAATGTCCCGTTTAGTAAAATACAATAAGTTATTATTTGACCCTTCAGGGGCCCTTAACTCTTGACCTATACGTCACAAAAACCAAAAAATATTTTTCTGATTCCCCTGGTCCAGGGGATTAATTTGATACCCCATTTACCTTAGTTACCATGGTTACTATGTTGACCCTTCAGGGACCCTTAACTCTTGACCTATAGGTCAAAAAAATTCAGGAAAATATTTTTATGCTTGCCCTTTGCCAGGGGATTAATTTGATACCCCACTTGCATGGGGTTACCATGGTTACTATTTTGACCCTTCGGGGGCCCTTAACTCTTGACCTGAGGGTCAAAAAAATCCAGAAAAATATTTTTTGGGTTCCCCTTGTCCAGGGGATTAATTTGATACCCCACTTGCCTTTAGTTGTGAGGGAATGATATTTAACCCTTCAAGGGTTCCTAGTTCACGACTCAAGGGTCATAAAAATTTATAAAAATATTTTTCTGGTTCCCCTGGTCCAGGGGATTAATTTGACACCCCATTTGCATGGGGTTATCAGGGAACGCTATTTGACCCTTCAGGGGCCCTTAATTCATGACCCAGGGGTCATAGAACGCTAAAAATAATTTTTCTATACTATTCCCATGCTAGACTTTTATTTTGGACCAGTTTGGAGGAAAAAATTTTTTTGACCGGTGACGTCGTGAAATTAATGCTACAAAGCGGTGTAATAAGTCTGCAGGGTTAGAACTTCATCTACAGTAATCTGCATACATATGTATCTATTTTCTAATGAATGTAGTATTAACTCACGAAAAGATTGCAAATTTTGACCTGATCCATTCCACCCATCGTATAGAGGAGTTCCTTAAACAGTTCGATGTCAGCCTCAGTTAAATCGTGCCTTGTATAATTCCCACTGTATGTACTAATGTGTAAAGTTTTCAGGGTCGTCGACCTGTTACAAAATTCAAACCTACTTCAATTGTAAGTGAATGAATGAAATGTCAAATGAATGAAAGTGAATTTCAGTTTTATTCATTTAACTGATTATGATAGTGAATAAATAGTAGTGAAAGAGAATGAATTTCCTTTCAATTGAATGAAAATGACTGAAAGATTGTCATTTCATATGAATGAATGACTTTGAATGAACGGATTTTTCATCACTTTCATTTTTCACTCTCTGCTTAATGCACACATGGGGCGAAGTAAGAAATGAAATCCTAAGAAGTGAAACGACATGAATTTTAAAGGAAATGAGTGAAGGTGAATGAGAATCTTGAGTCATACCTAAATCGGGATGACTGACTTTTGAATGAAAAAAAATAAATGAATGACTGTGAACAGGTATGTATTCATTCACCCACCGCTATGGTCAGAGAGTCGAGATTCTTGCAGTTCCCCAAATCCGGACAGTATCCACAGGGAAGCGTGACCTCGCGCAAATTGGCCGCCGAGTCCACAACCAGCTGAGCCAGTCTCGTAAGAAATGGAATAACCGGCTTCGAACTGAGCGTGAACAGGGCCAAATTACCTTTTCGTTGAAGCGGTACGCTCAACATTTCTTCGTCGCTGGGCGATAGACGGAGCCAATTTGACGTTGGAAATGTGCACAAAATTCGAAACTGTTTCAAATTTGGGCAACAATTTTTCAAAACTTGGTACACGGGTGGCAGACAGTTTTCACAGTCTATGAAAATTTCCAAAATTTCTACCCTATCGGTAAACTTGTCACAAAGGTGGATTAGTTTAGCGGGGAATTCTCGTAGTGCGTCCTTATTGTTGTAACGTGTGGCGCTAATTCGTTTCGCGAGTCGGTCATCGGATAAGTTGAAAAAGGGGAAAACTTCGTAATTTAGGGGTAACGCGAGTCTCGTATTCTGAAGGGATAGGACGATTTCATTTCAAAATTGGGAGACGAGTCGTGCAGTTTTCAATCGGGTTGAGCTCTGTTTTAGGATTTGTGACAAAATCTGAAAGTACAATTTTTAAATTGGTAAATATTTTAATTTAAATGTAATAAATAATTATAAATAATAAATAATAATAAACCGTCGTAAACGCACATAAGGAAGTAGCTTCAGACCACTTCACTCCAAGCACTCCCACGACATTGCGAAAACATTCAATTTCACTTAATTTTATCCAGAAATTCAATTTCAGTGAAAATCTCATTTTGCCCCGACCACACACCCTCACTAGAGGTGAGTCGAGCAGCGATTTTCAAAAGCTCGGCTCGCTCAAGCTCGACTCGAAAAAAGCTCGGCTCGCTCAAGCTCGACTAAGGAAAAGCTCGAAAAAGTTCGGCTCGCTCGAGCTCGACTCGAAAAAAGCTCGGCTCGCTCAAGCTCGACTAAGGAAAAGCTCGTAAAAGCTCGGCTCGCTCGAGCTCGACTCAAAAAAAGCTCGGCTCGCTCAAGCTCGACTCAGGAAAAGCTCGAAAAAGCTCGGCTCGGTTGATCCGAGTCGAGCACGATCAAATTCGGCTGAATTTAACATCTCTTGTGACATATTTTGATGCATACATACTAAATTTTGAATTAATATTTAGTTTTATTAAAGCAACAATACCCAAAAATGTAGAACTTTTGATTTCCTGCTCGATATCTAGCAATTTGACTTCAATTAATGATTAACATCAACCCAATAATAAATTGTCTAACCAAAGGTTTGCAGTTGAGGCATACATTTTATACCCAATGTGATTCACTTTTGTGAAAACAGTTGGAATATTATTGAGAAGAGACAAAAAGCATGTTTAAACTACATGTATACAAGTTTCTCACTTCACCCCACTTGAAATTTTAGAAAATAACGAGCTTTTGCAAAAGCTCGGCTCGCTTGAGCTCGACTCAGGGAAAGCTCGAAAAAGCTCGGCTCGCTCAAGCTCGGTTCAGAAAAAGCTCGGCTCGCTCAAGCTCGACTCAGAAAAAGCTCGAAAAAGCTCGGCTCGCTTAAGCTCGGTTCAGATAAAAGCTCGGCTCGCTCAAGCTCAGTTGAGCCGAGCCGAGCCCGAGCAAGCTCGGCTCAACCGAGCATTTGGCTCACCTCTAACCCTCACGCCGACGGAGTGTGGCACGACTCGGTATCACTTAATTTCACTCTATTTCATCTATAGATCAAATTACTAAATAATCAAATCACTAAAAATCTTATTTTACCCCGACCACACCCCCTGGCGCCAAGGGGTGTGGTCGGAGGATTGTCCCAAAAAGTTGATAGGATCCCCCCCCTGGGGTCTTATGTATGATGGTTAAAACCGATTTCGATTATCTCAATCCGTTCTCCCGTTATCCTGCTGACGAACGGACGGACAGACGGACGGACAAAGTCTTGGCATAAAGTATGTAGCTGAAGCTACTTAATAAATAATAACCAAATATATAATCATAAGCGTCAGTAGCTGTACTGACGCTTGTTCGACACCCTTAATAAAAACTTAATCAATTAATCAATCAATTAATTTTTGCAATTTTTGTTATTAACAAGAACATACATAAAAATGCAATTTTACAAATAATGCCACCCTTCAGAAAAGTACAAATGCGCTCTGAATTCTATGTATATTACACTGTTCCAATTTCGGTATAGTCACGCAGGTATAGATTTCCCGGTGTCAAAATTATACCGGTCCGTAAAAAATTGATGCCAGGCGGCATTCATATAGATATGACTCAGCCAACGTTGTACTGATAGGTAAATAATACCATTTAATAATAACCCGGTATGAATGTTTTACAATATTGGTATCGAATTTTAACGGACCGGTATAATGTTAATACCAAGCGGTTGCAACTTTGATACCGAGAAATCACGGACCTGTGTGACTAAGTTTACCGTATTTCTAACAGTATGTATACCTTACTTAATATGGAGTCCATAGTTCATTTACTCTTAAATGGATAACATATTTTTAAGAGTGTGCATGCCCATACGACGTACCAGCGGATTATTTAATGCGAGCTCTCGAACGTTTATCCCCGCTGGTGGTGATTCCATTATTAAATTGTTTTCAACGAAAATCTAAAAAAATGTATTGCGCATTAATAAAATGTTTAGCTTTTTGTACACAATATGAAAATGCATAATTCTCTAATAATTGAATTTAGCAATTTATACGCTTACCGGTATTCAAATTTGACAATATTGGGCGCTTCTCGACATCATGAATTTATATCAATTTAATTCAAATATGGTTAGAAATATGTAAATCTGTATTATTCTTGTTTTTCTCTTGATGTGATCAGATGTTGAAAGTTTCACATTCATATTCAAGCTAACCCTTTTTTCGTGTCGGTTGGATTATGTTTGGGACCGTGCAAAACGTATGTGATTCAAATAACGGATTGCGCATGAAGGCACGTCAAATGTAAGGGTCGGATGTGTTCCTAAAATTAAGTGTTAATAGTGTCCAAACAAATAGCACTAAACACACGGTCACATCCTTAATATCCGGCCTCAATTTACAGCCCTATTCTCAACTCGACTCGAAACACCCTTCTCTTCTTTTTACTCCGCCATACAAAAGAGTATCGCAGAGCCACCGTTATTTATAAACATTCATCTTTTCCATATTTTGTAGATAATTTGACGGAGTTTAAGGTTACTTGTAGGTTGGCTAAAAAATTGTTGAGAAAAGATTAGGATTAGTTAAAAATAGGAAAGTGAAACTTGTCAGAGTTTATACGTTTTTTCGTACACCCGCACCCCAGCCATCGCATGGGTAAATATTACGACAACATAGGAAGGAATGCCGAATAAAGCACCACAGGTGAGTGGTGAATAAAAGTGCGTCTCACGGAGAAACAAGCCTCAAAAAGCCAAACATTAGCATGCAAAATCAACCCTCGCAATATGTCTGGGTACGTTTCGAAGCGTCAAATTTTCTAGGAATCAACAATTTTTTCCGAGGGAGTCAAAGTAAACCTTTCTGAATCCGATGGACCTCAGAAGATGTAGAGAACTGTAAACCATAGTTGCTACTAAGGTTGACAAAGCAACACTGAAACTTGTAAGTGCGAACAATATGTATTTCCCACTTTTGGATCTTAACTTTTCTGATATTTATTTGATTATTTGCATGTGCAAGTTATGTACCAATAAAAATATACATAGCTTAACTATGCTAACGGCACCGTTGAATATATAGAATATTTCTCTTCAGCGTAACTCCATAAAAATTGGAATATTTTTCTTACGAATTACTGATAATATAATTATAAATATCTTGATTGTAGACAGGGTTTCCCCGCGTTTCTCAACGGCCTATGCTAAATACATTGGGCTGCTAATCCACCTGTACTCCACTCTAATGGAGCGTGACATTTTGTATCGATAAAAATTGAATTTATAACTGGGGAAAAAATTATTCGATTCAACACAAGTAAAAGCGTGAGCATAGTAACTCAACAATAAATTACGTTTGAGTATTGGAGGCTTATGTACAGTGATACTTCTTAAACTTCTTTCATAAATTAGGTGACCATGGTTTAACAGCGGGATTGAGTTGAAATTCTACGATAAGGTCCTCAATAAAGTACCCTCACGCATAACCTGTATTTCATGCTTGACCATAATTTCGCCAGCGATTGCTTCCCCCTCCTACAAAAATCCTTCAAAATTCCCAGAAACCTTAGATAATCTTCGCCCATATAAATAATCATTGCCACGAATAAAGCCACCGGATGTACAATGAATATTAATCCTATGGACTCGGATAATTTAAGCCCCTCAACTCGTTGTGATTCCTTTATATAATCGACCTCAAACCTCTCTTTGCTCAATCGTCTCACGAAATCTGTCCATTTCATGTTAATCCACCTATTCCAAATCCAGCTTTCCCCATGTGAGACCAAAATTCTTTCTAGCGACTTGGCCCCTGCTAAAGGACCGTACATCAACATCCGAATCGATAATGTCACGAAGACCTCCTCCGTAACAAAACAGGAAACTTTATCAGTACGAACTTTTACCTCCGCCTTTCCCAGCTTGTTAAAAATCTCGTCCTGAATGTGAATATATCCTTGGTACGTTGCCATTCTATCAAACCAGGCGTACTTCAACGTGCTGAAGAAAACATCGATTGAGCTGTCGATATGAACATCATCTGTGGTGAGTTCTCTCCCCATAATTTTTTTGTATTGCTTTCCCCCAAAATAAGCCGCTAAAGGGAAAGACCATAAATGCGGGATAACCATTTTATACCCCGCGTGTTCCAGGTCTTTCGTAGTTTCGTAGATTAGTATGTGTCGCGGTGCCGTGATCTGTGTTGTTATGAAGGATTCATAGTGATAAGAAAGAAACGAGATGAAAATAAGAGAGGGAAATGTGTAAATACTGAAACGATCTAGTTTTCCGATAGGTTCGTAAATAAAGTAGAGAAGAATCTCGATGGATGCCCGGATAGATTGGCGGACAAGGCCAAGTAAAACAATTGACGTTGCGAGAAGGAACCAAATCTCCCAGTCGAACGGGGTGACGAACCAGGTCCATGTTGGGGCTGTGAATGTCTCCTTCTGAACGCAGTAAAACGAATGTAACCTTCTCTGGTTGAAACCGGCCATGAGGGAGTGCCTGTAATCTGACAGATCGTCCACGCCATCCATTTCTTCAGTTCCCCAGCAGAGTAAAAGCGCTGTCCAGGGAGAGTGTTCGTACGGAGAGCATGATGGGGCATCTGAAATATATTAATTATTTACCTCTTAATAAATACAAAATAAATTTTGGATATGCACTTGTTCGAAGACTTTTACCATCCGCCCTTGAAATATTCAATTTTTCCATTGCCAGCCATAGAATCAAGAAAAATCCAATCCCGCATTGTGGCTCTGAACTAAAATATTTCTCACAGATTGTCAATCTCGGGTTTTCTTGGATTTCTTTCGGCGTTGGTATCTTCTCGGAAAGCTGATGAACTTTTATTGTTCCCGCATGGCCGTTAGAATTTAGCCTGACATGGAGATCAATCAGCCTGGCGGGATCATTGATCATATCAACACGCGAAAACCTGTTCTTCTCATGACACGTGTAACACAAAATGTGTCCCGATTTTATGTGACCCTTCGTCGCCTCTAAAAATACTAGCGGACACATAAATCTCGGTTCAGGAATGTCATTCGGGTCGTTAAACGCATCAAAAAAGTTGTCGAATTTTTCAACCAAGACGTAAAATAGGACTCTAAAACTTGAATCCATTCCGTAACCGGAACGTGTAATTAAATAGTGTAAACTGTCAATTGACTGTGAAGGAAACAAGAAAAACAGCTTTAAATTTGGTGACAATTTTCGCGTTTCTTTAAAAAATTGGGATTCTCTCGAGCCAAGGGACGATTCCAAGGTTTGAGTACAGTTTCCAAAATATGATTGGATTGTTTTAACATGACAGGAAGTTAGGTAAGGTTCCAGTTCCTTGGAGGCGACACACGTTCGAAAATGTAGTTCATATCGGAGCGAAATCTGATCGATTAAACGTGCCAAACCAAATACTGCATGGTGCGATGAAGACGATTGTAGGAGAATCATGAGTAGAAAAAATTTTGAAATCATGATTTGTACTCTTTGCAAGTATTTTGAATTGTAAAAATTTGAAAAATATGTATCCAGAAGGAATTTTGTATATATAGAATTCTTCCAAGTTTGTATTTTATTAGAATTGGAAATTAAACGCTAAAACTAGAGAGTGTTGACTAAGATTGCTTGCATTCTGGGCCGACAGGATATGCGTGCCAAGTTAAATTGGATGTCGGAAATGACCAAGTTACGAAAGCCTAGACTGATGGATTATTTGGCGGATATTAATATTCTTGGAATAATGAGAACATTAGAGTCGTGGCATTTCGTGACTAGATCATTCCGGTTATTTTGTAATTTTTAGGTTTCCATATCGTCGTTGAAGCTGCCAAAGGAGCTAAATCCATTTTGTGTTAAATGCCAAAGGAGCTAAATCCATTTTGTGTTAAATGCCAAAGGAGCCTTCTCTACCTAACTTAACATTGAGAAGGTTCCTTTGGCATTTAACACAAAATGGATTTAGCTCCTTTGGCAGCTTCAACGACGATATTTACATTTGTGCATGGTTATCCCGATACATTTTTATTTGCAACGAACATTCATGAGGATGAGTAATTGTTTGAAATGAGACTGAATGGTAGATATGTACGTACGGATTAAAAAGTCATAAATAAGTTTCGATACATCTGCTTGAACATTACAAATGCCGGAATTTAACGGGCCACAATTTTATGCATTTTATGATGGGTCCTGAATATCTACATACATAGAAAATTTGGTAGAAACTAATTTTTAAAACATAACCAAGCTCGAAACTGTTTCACGAATAAACACTCGCGACAATGCGGCCATGAGACTAGTTATTCTTCAAGTTATGTACCTTAAAATCGAGCTATTTTTCACAAAATTGTGAAAAATAAATTAAATTTACTTTTAAATTTACATGTAGTGCGATAAAATTGGCACGCTAATAAACAGTAAAACTTAGTTTTTATAGAGGTCAAACTTTAGGTCAAAAAGGTCACGTAGCGACTCCTTACTGAAGTTCGTTTTAGACAATCGCATTTGGATAAAAAATATCGAAATCCCATATTTTTACGACCTTTGGTTGTCCCACAATGAAGGGATATGTGTAAAAGATATAATGGGTCCTTCAGAAGGACCCTTGACATACGAATTTTTTTCACACGCCTTTTTGGCATTGTTTGGACGTACTTCACAAGCTAATGTTACATTTTATCAAAATTTAAATACAAATGTTTCAGGGGGTTCATAGCAAAAAAAGTCCTCAATTATAAAATTCGGGAATTAAATAAACTGACCGAGTGAGGGCACGTGACCTGCGTTTAAACTAGGTTTTCTTTCGAACAACAATTAATTGTCAACAAGACTTCGCGAAGTATGTAAATATCTGCACGACTAGTAATATCCCAGACTTCTGACAACAGAAGTATGTAATCCAAGTACAAATGCATTAAGGTTAAAATTCATTTATTTCATTCTATCACATACAATGGAATATTTAAATAATATGTAAATGATCGTCTCAAAAAACATTAGTATACTTTATTCCACCTACATACATATGTATCATTATGTCACTAACGCATTAATCGTGCAACTCATTACGGCCTCGTAATACGTAGATGTCGTAGATTTTCTCAGCACGAAGAAACTAAATTCGCCAGATCCCAGCCTTACCCCAATGGGTCTCAACCCTTTCACCATTTTCACCTCGAGTCGCATTCGACCCCGCGTCCCCCACCCGGCCAACAATTTACTACTAGTTTCATAGCACGCAATCCCAAACGGGAGCAGGATTCCGATTCCCACCATCGCCGCGAGCGATCCAATCGCAAAAAAGAGATAGAACGGCATCGGAACCACGTCGAACATTCAAACCGTGATGAAATTGCACGTGACCGTAAATCCAAACCCGAACGAGAACAGGAGCGAGGCGACCAGCGCGGAAATTAGTTTCTCGTAGATCTTCCCCAATATGTTAAAGCTTTGATACGTTCGGATCACATGTCTGGTTGGGTAGTGTATGTATCCGAGATAAATTATTTAGCGAGCTGAGCAGCATGTTTAAAACTATGGCGCCATTAATTACTCAACCAACCAGACAGGCTGTCTCGTGTAGAGCGATGAATGCATAAAGGTTCCAAGGATTGTGATGGTTAGGAATTTGCAAGGAAAAGAGGAAAGCTGACAAGTCGAATTCCCTGAGATGTATACGAGATGGGAAAACTTGGCCTTGACGGTCATGTAGGCTTGAAATATGCCGTGAAAATAAGGCAAGGTGGCAGCAACGAGGACAAACATGGATAAAATCGCGTTCAGCTTGTCGAATTGGTTTCCACGTTTTGGAAAAGCTGTACATAAGTTATTTTAAGATTGAATTAATCAATTTGTGTAAGTTCCAGTGTTGATGCTGCGTTGTAAATGAGTTGAAAATAGTCTCAAATTCATTATAGTTTTGGGCTCCCAGATAAACTTAATCTGTAAAAGTAAAAATCCCAGACAAATTTAAAAAATGTAAATTAATAATTTTTGGCTATCGTGCATCGTGCCTGCAAGTCATAAATATACAGCTCAGCATTTTGCAGCTTGATTCAATAACGAAGACGTTAAATATTTGCTTAATTGTCTGTTAGCTCCATTCCATCGCAAATGTATCCAAAAATGCTTAAAAACGCTATTTTGCACAATTTGGGAATTATTTACATATACTGGATTTAAACCGGACTCATCTATACCTCCTTCACGACTCATGGTCAACGCTTGACTAAATTTCGAAATTTATGCAGGAGACAACCCACCGTTTCCAACTGTTCGATCTGACCAAGTAGGTCGTTGATGAATGCGACATATTCATTCTTCACGATGGACATTGCGATGGCAGTGGCGACGGTGAAAACGGACAAGGGAGCGTCCATAAATCACGTGATCGATTTTTGGACAATTTTGACCCCCTCCCCCCCCTTGGTGACCGGTGGTGATAATTTCGCTACCCCCCCCCCACTGGTCACGTGACAGGAGATGATGCTCAAATTAACTCATGTCGGGAATATCAATATTATTCCAGTGTTTTTTAAATCATTAATCAATTAATAAGATGGTAATGATCAATCGGCAGAAATGATTAATCAATTCTAATGATTAATGATTAAATGATTAGTCTTTCAATCGGCAGAAAAGCACGTTTAGGAAATGTTTTTTATACGTATAATTTCTTGCACTTGGGCAAAATGCAACAAAAACGTTAGAGCCAGGTAGACATAAATCCCAATGTATACTAGGGTCATTTTTATTTATGTAGGTGGACTGACCTTGAAGGAGTGTCATTTTGCCCTCCTTTTTTGTTGAGGGGCAGGATTAGGTAATACGTACCTCAGATTTCTTCGCTTTGAGAATTCACGGTCACGGCCGACTCAAGAAGGTGTTTGCATGTGACCAAAAACAGCGAAACAAACCAAATCGCTAAAATTGAGCGTAACTTTGGCACGTAGATAGAGACTTTCAAAACGGACACCAGTACATCTTTTTGCGTTTAGTCACTGGGTGATGACCACAAGTTCATTTTTATGGCACTGATAGTAAACCAGAGAGCATGCAGTAGAAGCAGTCGCCCACAAAAGAGTAAAGAGAGAGCAAAAACAGCTATGATGATTATGGACAGGGTATTGACTATGTTGCATTAATTATACTTTATTTCAAATAAAAGTAATTATGTAATTTGAGAGGTCAAAGCACAAATAGTTTAGTAATTTTGTTTTCCATTGTTTGCGTCATTTTAAACGATGATGGGATAAGTGGCAAGGTACTGACTAATTCCGCAATCAACGTTGTTAGCCTGACCAGACAAAATGTAAGCAAATCCTTTATCTCCCCATCCAGTACCCCAGGAGTTTTTAACAATCCAGTAGTTCTTCCCTGCTGTGTTGACTCCATATCTGCAGAGTAAAATTATATAGATTTTCCGTCATTTCGGGTTATATTTATTACTTACCCAACAAGCAAAACAGCGTGATCCATTGCCTGGCCGGCCGGGCAGGACATATATCCGCCCGCATATAATGGATCCCAGGGTTCACCGGACACCGCAATTGCCAACTGTTTAAGAAACACGATATTTTTCACAAGGATGTTAACTTAGTTGTTGCTTTTGTAACTACCGGTCCATGGGCCGCTAGGTAGGATTTAATAGTTGCATCAGGGGCGGGCATGCTCAACTCCTGGAACCCAGAGACTTTTTGGACTACTGGAGCATTAGCCCCACTACATGTTCCAGCCGAATTGCAGCAACCAGATGTATACGGATACGCAGCATCTGTTTTACTGCCGCCGTAATATTGCAACCACTGGAATGTATTTGTCGGCCAACCGCCTCCGCAACCACTGTCCCAGACTGAAGCACATAAATATTAATGTCAGCAATAACAAAGTAATTAATGCAATTAATTAAAATTACAATTCTCATAATGTGGCTAAATAGTACACATTCTATGACTTGTACTTTGCGGGATGACCAGACTACTCATTAATAGAGATAGCCAGGCCAGCGGCGGTAACACATTAAAGGCTAGTTTCCGATTCTTTGACTTACTATCACAGTCCACCAGCTGCTGTTCGCTCAATAAGACAGATGAACGGGCAGCAATTAAGACTTGACTTTCAACAGCAGCGAGCTAAAATATAAATACTTACATGTATTTAATTGTCTATAATTGTTGCATGGAATAATAAATTGTAATCTGCTTTACACTAGCGAAAGCCCAACAGCTGCCGCAGTTTGCTGAAATAGTACAATCAATTATTACTAATAAACTTGCAATGCAATACAATGCGTACCCTCTCAGATATTCTCTGCACCACAAGCTCAACAAATCATATTACCAATTGATAACTTGCATAGTTTGACACAAATTACGAACGCAATAGTAACTTAATACTATTCTTGGAATTGGCATAAACTGATTCAGGATGCAAGAGATGTGGGTTTTGTTCACTTTCAAGAATATCGCTACCAGCAGGCTCATATTTACTTATTCCTACCTTGGTTCCTGACGGCGGAAACTTTATTCGTTGACCTATAATCCAACGATGCTGGTGGCAACTGCCGGGCATACCGCTCATGAGGAACCGAACGACTGGAATGATTTCGTCGTAACTCTGGTCTTAGACCGTGGTGAGTTTGATGGAACTCGGCAGCATCTTGGTCCGCAAATTCATTGATTGCTGCATTAATAAATATAACCTAATAATAAAACCTGACATTTCTGAAACATGGAACATGATGAAATTGTTTGGGGCAATTATTACCAATATTGTATTGGACTTCTCCTCTTTCGAATTTTTTGTTATGTTCATCCACACGGGCCGCATTCTTGTCGAACTTTGCCTTTGCTTTTGCTTCTTTTTCGGCGGACTTATACTCCTTTTTATGTTGTTTCTACGTTTTTGAGAATTTATAATTTGTCAATAATATAATTTTTCTTGTTTCCATATTCAATGCTCGAACCTTAAAAGCCACCCAGTCGGGTTTATCTGCAAGTGAGATTGCCGAGAAAACAGCCACCACGAGGAAAAGTGTTAAAACGCTGAGTCTTGCCATTCTTGAGTGAATTGCGCTGGTAAGCTTTTTTAATGAGGAACATTGAGATGCGATTGCTTTTTATATCGCAGAATGCGGACACAAAATTTGTAAGAAATAATGTCTATTAAATTTTTGGATTGACGTATGCAAAATTATTTAATGCCACGCGTAATACACTTATTACTGTTGTCAATTGTGGTTAAACAATTCACAACATTGTTATTGTATAAATTTTATCCAAGTGATCATTTAAGTGAGTCATAATTATCTTGCGTAAGATGTTTTGTTCGAAATTGGCGGTAGCAGCTGCATGTTATTTTATTATAAATGAATGCCTATATGTAAGATCATTGTTCGAGCCATATGTACATATGTAAGTATAGGTATGTTTGCGGGTATTTATATAAGCATGATGCATATTTCGTCGTCTAATTGTTACATATTCATAACTTGACAGCGGACTGATTAATGGGCACGTGCAGGATAACACAAATGGTCAAATAGGGATGCATCCTATTATGGGTTCAAAATGATAAATCATCTTGTACTGCTTACAAACTCGAAGAATTAATCGGTAATTTAACTAAATTAGTATAATGTTCGTGGTTAAAATCCTTATTTGGCAATGGCCACATGATTAGTCATACCAACATCATTAGACTTAAACAGTATGTAAAACAACATTTTATCTAACTCATAATATGTATTTATATGCAGATCAAAATTTTTACAAACTCAACAGCGACAAAATTTAAGTTTCTTCATTAGTAAGTATTTTAGTTGAAAAATTGCGGTTTTATATGTATGACTTAAATTAATAGAACGTACGATATAATTTTAATAGGGTTCAAATGCTGATGCGTGTTCATGGAATAATACATGTATGTATCTTTATTGCAGAAATAGCCAGTAGCTCTTGCAAGTCATAATTACATAGTTAGTCAAATTTTTAGATTATAATAATTGAGATAGTAGTCAGGGGAGTAGAGGGAAAACCAGACTGTGGTGGTCGGTCTGGAAAACCTCTACCTGATCTGGGAAGGATGCCCAGATCACCATTCGGCCCTGACTACCTGAAAAACCCAGGCTCAACCAAAGAGTGACAGAGATTATAGGCGATTTACATATGGGGAAAAATGGTGACATCCAAATGAGTAGGCGACGTGCTGGCGGGGACACAACGGGTTCTGGGCTGGAGCGGAGCGTCCATGGACCACAAACTAACCAATGACCCATCAGGGTTCGGCCTAAGTGACCCCATAAAGGGGCCATGAAACTCTCCACAAACTAACCCCTCCCACCGCAGCACATGACCAGGTCATGGGAACCCCGTAGACCTACCCCAGCCGCCCCCACCAGCACCGCGCACACCCACTCTTCAGTCGACCACCCCCACATGCTCACCACCCCAATATAACACTCAAAGGTCTCACCTGGGGGAGTCCTCCAAGGCGTAGATCCTCCAGTGCACAGGGTCCGACGAGATCCATCTTCGCCTGATGGCTCAGCTTGTCGTTGCTGGGACGGGTGTGGCAGGGGGTGTCACTAGGCACCCAGGTGGGGGGTGTGAGTGGACGAGGCTCACGTGGCGTAGGGGCCTTAGGACACACTTAACTGGCCCTGGCACACCCGCGACCCAGATGGAAGGAGATCCAGATGCAGAGCGAGAGAGAGATACGTGTTGCACTGGAGAATGCCAAGGAGGAACTCATTCATGGAATAATACATATTAAAGGTTAACATTTGAGGCAGGGTTACAAGTGATATATATCACTGAGTGAGATATAGTGAGATTTAATGATATATATCACTCATCTCACTTGGGGCTGAGTGAGAAATATGAAAAATAATGAGATAAACTTGTACTTCATGACCTCGTCCGCTATGTGGCGCTAGTGCATGGCTCATAAATCTCACTATTTCACATATTTCCCATGTCTCACTATTTCTCTTTATATCTCAGTGAGATGAGATTTCTGCAACCCTGATTTGAGGTGCCAAAATATTGCGTAATTTGACCTTGTGACCTTATCAGTTCTATTTTAACTTATTAGAACCTCAACCTATCACAAGTTTGACTAGCCCGGCAAAATTTAAATTTGTTATTTCGCCAATTGTTGTTGTTAGCTAAAATTCGTTCCAATAATAATACTATGTAGAATACCATCATTTGCTTCTCCCTTGTTTCATGCAATGCCTCGTGTTGCAGTACAAAAAATTCTCAAAAATCTAACATCCGTTTAAAATGCGCATTTTTCTCACCTTAAGTCCTTCGGCATGCCGGGAATTCTGCAGAAGTGCCATACTAACTGACGTATGTGGTTAGTTTGTTGATTCTTTAGGGCTGCCTTTAGGCAGATCCATTTTCACGATCCTAAGATATGTATAGATACGTACATACACCATTATTCGAGTTTTTCAAAACAACTCTACACAAAAAGGGGAAACCAAATGTTTTCCTAAAACAAAGAAGACTTATTTCCTGCTTCTTTGGGAACATTGAGGATGTATCGAAATAAATAATTGTTTATTGGATGATACACTTGCATTAAATATTTCTTACGTACTTGTGCAAACTACTTAAAATATAATACTCTAATTTACAACTCAGTGTAATTCAGGACGATATCTAAATTTTGCAATTCAAATTTATCAATGTTTCTAAAGAAATTAGAAGACAATTCTCCACGTTGGGTATGATTTGGTAAAAAACATACATTTGTGTACGGCTTACCCAAAATTTACGATTAATTATGAATATGAACAAAAAACACGCAATAAAATATGCTTCTCACGATCCATGCGCATCCCCAGTGAAATATTAATGAAATGTCCAAGTCTTCTAAATAATTCACTTTAATATTCTTGCTAGTCAAGAAGGAAAGAAGATCTACCAAATTCTCTCAAAAATATTGCTACCCTCTTGAAAAGTTAATACATTCGAGCTATTATGCAAAATTCAGAGTATTGATCAAGATAACTAGGTAAAAAGTCAATTCAAATCTCGATTAATACATAGGCTTTACGTATGTACATATTATAAAATTTAATAGTTTTAATATTCAACACTCTGTGTTTGCAAGTAAGCCTATTACAAGTAAAAACAAATGGTATTGCGATTCTGACCTTTGTCTTGGAGTAAATAAGTAAATATTTATATATTTAAAAAATAAGCATTATGCACTCACAATGGGGTCATCCATATTTATAGTACGTCATCAAGAAGTCTCGATTTTAGTACCCACCCACCCAACGAATACATCAAGGGATACATAAGTTTAACATGGGAAAGATACGAAGACCTAAACCACCCAGCCCCTACAATGATGACGTAATATATGGACGTTCCCAATGCAGTCTGGTGATGATGTAGATCGTCAGACAAGTATATACTCATCCTCAGATTCGATATCAACATGCATATTTAGAAGTCGTCAAATGAATGAATGAGGTAGCAGTGCAAAGTAAAACGTTATAAAATCTCGTAAAAGGTATTTCACGATAAGAAAAATATCTGTACTAAGGATGCGAAGAAATAACGGACAGTAGCCTCATTTTTCGTTCGAGATCTTTCAAATAAGTTGTCCTCCATCTCATCTTGCCAAGCACCCGGTGGAGCCAAAACTTTGAAAATGTCCATCAAGAATGCGCAAATAGCTATGAGTTACTTGCCCGTGATGATGCACTGGAAAACTATGATAAATGCAAACATTTCGCAAATTCTGTACTGATTCGTGGTAAATATCAAGGCGGCGGAAAACGTCCTCAGGCAAAGTAGTATGTGCATCATGGTCGCCCAGGTCGCGAAATGCGATACCAGCGAAACATGGTAATTTCGCTCCATTCCTGAATACCCAAGTTTCGGGGACAACCTGGAGAATAAATATTGTCATTCATGTCCATGTGAAAATTACAGCCAATAAAATTTTATCATACTGTTTATTTTGTAAATCAAAATTTCTCTTATGTATGATTCCGATTTGGTACATAATTGCGCATAACCAATTAAACTTTGAATACTTACTTCGGCTGTAGGGTTTCCAATTTTGGTGAATGAAAACGAAAAATCTAGGTTTTAAAGAAAATTCCCAAATGTGAGAAGATAAATATTTTTAAAATCGACTTTTTTTGTGAGTTAGGTTTCCACTAAATTTATGGAAAATAAATTCGGCTAATTATGAGGAATTTTTGTCTCGGCGAAATTTATGCAGTACGCAAATATGTCTAATTCATCCCCGACGGAAACTAAAACACTGGAAAAATGTGTGTATCTGGCCTGTAAGCAGTTTCACATTGTATTAATTTTACACATACAGATTCATGTGCTACTTAGTTTTATTCAAATATGTTATTAGCAGAAAATTGTTATCATGTTACACTGTTATCTTGCTCCTCAGACAAGTATATTGTAGCGGGCTCGGGCTACTCCGGAAAAAGCCCAAAACCGACTAACCTCTGCAAATCGTGTATATAGTAACAATTGAAATATGTGGAGTATATTTGAGTTACTTTGGTTCATTTAATAATTTACTATCATGCAGGGCTGTCAAATCCTTTCCAAAGTTTCATCCGTATCTCGGTTTTCTGTTGTCGGATAGATATGGACATTAAAATCACACTTTTAATTGTTTTCCTCCTTCATGTACAATATGTTTATTAAATAATAAGCCTTATCTCTAATTACATAAGACTTTCTCAATTATACTTAATAATTTACATGTATTTATAATAAGTGGGCTGCAATATGTATGTATATAATAGGCTATGTACATGTTAATATAAGATCCATAAATTATAAGATACATACTCTTATTTATGTTGTCCCCCTGGAACTGAACGGCATTGTTGCCGATTGTGCTTCAAACATGGCTTGAAGCATATTAACTTAAGTCTCTTGAGTGACGATATAAATTTGAAAATCCGTGGAATTACTCGATGCAATACAATCAATATCAGATTCCAGATATAAGTAGCATTGTAGCAAGTACCTTCCACCAGAAGTATTGAGAAAAGTGACATATTCGTAACTGCAAAATATATAAAAATGCTTCTAAGATTAGAATCTAATTTTATTCCTGTTACTTTGTTTAAGCTATCAGTATCATCTATATCTTGTAGGGATTTATTTTGTGACATCTCCTTTGCTAGGTTTCGATGATAGATTATTTTATTCCTGTTTGTATACCATCTCGTCATATTTTCATACCAGATAAATTTGTCTAAAAATCCAAACTGGACAATATCCTGAATTCGTTTTGCCACTCTTTTATCTAAAACATGATAAAATTTCCAAGCATAACTTCGCGTAAATAAATATTCCCTCCCAATTGTCCACTCAATTCGTAGCTTGTGCAGTTTTTAGCTTTACTTTAATGTTTTCCAGTGCCTGAATCCATCCCAAAATTGCTACATTTGGGCAAGAGCCAACCGATGATTTACTTATCTCATCAAAAAAAATTATCATCAGGGCTCACACCTCCATCCATCAATTTGGAAATTGCCGCATTATAACTTTTCACAGACATTTCTGACGCAACTGTGGTGGTGGGGCCGAGCTTCCCGAATTGGAGTGCACCAATTTCCAGAAGCCTCATAGGATTTGGATGTTGGAGTTCAATCCATTCCGAATATATTTTACGATTTTTCTTATCATCTAATATTTTGTCAAAATACAAATACGGTTTGCTTGAAGTAGTTGCAACAATATTTTTGACGTTATCACCTTTAAAGGCGTTCGTAAGCAATTTGCAATATTTTGACATTAAAATATTTGTGGATTCAACAGTTTTATCTCCATTCCTCTGAAAATTTGCCTCAATATAGTCCAATATATGGTGAATAATTGGTATGAAAACAATTTTTAAATATCTACCTGTTCTTGGGAAAATTGAAGTTGAATTTGAAATTGAAAATCGTAGCATTAAATAAGTTACATACTGTAGTTTCTATTTCTAATTCATCCTCTGTTTTTTGGTCTGAGAAAGAATTTAATTTATGTGAAACAGACGTAGATCAACAGGACGAAGGTTTGAAATTTGGCAATAATGTTGCAGAGGGACACTCTTAAAAATTATGTTACCCTTTCGAGAATTTTATATGCATATGTACTTACATCGAGAGAGCGAAGTATGTTAAAACCAGAGAACTTTAATCTGCTAAGGACTATGATTTGCTCTAGATTCTGTATAATTATGTACATAAATATGTATGTAACATAGAATTGAGAGTGCATTTACTTTTCAAATTGTTAGCATTATGTTTAAGAGTATGGTCGGTATTATATCATGGACTGGCTTGATTTGCAAGAATATGTATCCAACTGAATAATTTAAATGAGTTGCACTGGTCCTGAATATTTCACTTGACATTCTAGTGGATCATAAGAAGGCTATTTGATTGCCTGTCTTTGGCTTATGTACACAATTATTCGAATATTTTAAAACAGCCCCACCCAAAAATGTGGAATCAAATATTTGACTAAAACTAGTACGGAGTATATATATAACACTTATACAACTCATAGTTAATCGAGGTGATATCGAAATTTTATACGTAATATAAAATTATGTTCAAAAAAATTAGATGTCCTTTGTTCAAGTTGTGTTTGATTTAGTAAACAAATTTAGTTTCCCGTGTATGTGTGAAACTGTATTAAAATATTTGAATAATTTTGAGCCCAAAACACGCAATAAAATACTATCTACTTGTACTATCTTGTACTACCCAGTGAAATTTGCATGAACTATCCAAGTCTTTTAAATAATTCATTTCAGTACCCTTAGAAATCAACGACAATATGGCTACATGACATGAACCGGAATCTTAAAAATATTTCTCCCTTTTTGAAAACGACAAGCAATATATATGAATTCTGTATTCGGTAAACTGTATGTACATTAAATCCTGAGCATAGGTAACTTTGATAAGCTGTTATTATATAGATGGCATAGTTTGTAACAAAGAAACTTAATTTGTTTACTAACAATGGAAGTGTACCAACGTAGGCCTGGATCGAAGAAGTGTCAACCAATCACAAACTTGGTTAGTTTGATATTTGCGAATGACAATGCCTACCAATGCTTAGGTTTAGCTTGGATATTTCCATAACAAGTGAACTAAACTGCCCCAAAGTTGACAAACGTTACACTTTCCAAATTTACTGGCATTTTCTTCAGTTCAGATGCAAATATTTCCGCCTAACCTAAAAGTAAGAATCAGGGATTGTAATTCGTTTTATTAGGTTATTAACAATAAATTCAACACACTTTGTTCAAAACTAATGAAGAAACAATAATATTTAAAATCTCCCTGTCAATATTAGAATTTGTATCGTCTCCAAGATTTATTTTTGATATCAAATGAAACCTTTGAGGGTGTCTAATGTTGAGTTAATTCGCATTATGTGGTATTACAGATATAAAATTAATATTCATTAATGTTAATTTACTTCAAAGTAAATTGCCTACCTACATATGTATGTATGCGAATTGAAATAATTTGGTTTACGTACATATGTATGAGAGATGTTTATAACTTTCGTTTCGCAAAGTTTCATTATGTATGCACACCATTTGAAGAACTCTTCTTGCTTAAACACCGTAATTAGAGTTGCATTATACATACAAAGATTGGGAAGAACTACACAGCGTTAACAAAATTAAATACCCCCAAAATTTAAATTGTGCATAGATTTAGTTAGTAATGTCTTAAGTGCAAAAGTAACTAGAAATATGTAGTATCAGCCAATTCTAGGCGTAAGAGTCAATTTTATCGTTATTCAAGAACCATTATTTGAGTTTAAGTGAAATAATGAGATTGAGATTAGGATTTGTTTCGGCCAAATTCAGCTGTCGGTTTCTCGTCCGTCCATGTTACGAAACGCTCACTTTGTTCGAGATCGTCCCTGGCCCCGGTCTCAGTTACAATTCCAGCTCCAATTAGATCCTTAATTTTTTTGAGAAAATATAAATTCATATGTACGATCTTATGTATAGACTTTACTCAAATTGATTGAAATGCTCGTTTGATATTGTTGTTAAGAAATGGAAAACATTTCAAAATTTCAAAGTTATCCTTACGACATTTCACCGACAGGGTTAAACTCAGGAGGAGAGCTTCACCACCTGCCCTTCTCAGATCTCGATGCCCTTTGGATATGTGGTAGGGTCCCATGAGTGTACTAAAACCCTGAAGTGGTTTCACTCCATGGCCACATTTGCGCCCGCCACACCCACTCAAAGGGATGAAAACTACAAAAGTTACCAACTTCAAAAATCCACCAAAAATCCAATTTTGCTCGGATTTTGATAAATGTTACATTTTTGTGATCCCAGATACTTGTGTGATAATATCCAATAGCAATCTCAACTTTTTTGAAATTTTCGAAATTTTCGAGCTGACGATTAGTCGAAAAAATTCAAAATTTCAAAAAAGTTGAGATATCTACTGGGTATGATCACCCAAGTATCTTGGATCACAAAAATGTAAATTTTATCAAAATCCAAGCAAAATTGGATTTTTGGTGACATTTGAAGCACATGAAAACATGTTTTTTTTCCTGTTTTTGGCACCTTTGAGTGGGTGTGGCGGGCGCAAATGTGGCCATGGAGTCAAACCACTTCAGGGTTGTTGTTCACTCATGGGACCCTACAACATATCCAAAGGGCATCGAGATCCGAGAAGGGCAGGTGGTGAAGCTCCCCTCCTCAGTCCTAAATAAAAAAAAACGCACCTTTTCTTCGGCCTGGGTCTTTCTCTTCAGAAGAATATGCTTCTTCTTATCCTTACCCCTGAACAGAAATTAATTAGATTCAGTGATCCTAATAATTACTGTGAAAAATCAAAATTTCAATAACCCGTCTTTTATTCTGAACCTTTTGTTCTGAAACCAAATTCGAATTATACGTTCACTTAGGCCAGTCATTTCCACCAATTGTGCCTTCATCAAAGCTGTAAATCATGTCATTTTTACTCAAAAATGAAATTATATAATGGTTTAGTTGAATCGCGTTAAAAATATATTTGTGTACCGTCTGGTCGCGGGTTAGCGGCGTAACAGGTGCGCAATGTGTGAACTTGTTTCTCGCTTAAAAGGGTGCGGATTCTGGCCGGTTTGCCTGGCTCGGTTGAACCTAGTTCTCGTAGCTTGGGAACTTTTTTGGGTGGGGACAAGTCTGGAAATAAAAAATAAATTCTGTAGTTTACGAAAAATAAGGTTTAGAAAGTACATGAAGTCTGAATTCTATATGAGGTAAACTATACTGGGATTTAATCTGGAGTTCAAAGTGCACGTTTTTCACAATTATCTATTTACGAAGTCTGACCCCTTGTTTTACCTTCATCAATTATTTTACGATACATACATATTAAGGATATATACGAAGAAGTAATTAATACCCCCATTAAATATATTTTTTAATTTATTTAGTTAGATACGAATTATTGGAGTAATAATAACCTTTGTTATACACAAAATTGAGGGTATTCGTTCTTTGTCCGTATCCTTAACATCGTAAAATCGTTTATGAAGACAATACGAGAAGGCAAGCTTCTTAAAAACCGTAGCCTTTGAAACCTGGTTTTGATAATATCTCGTGCATAGGTGTCGTAAGTTATTAAGTAGCTTCAGCTACTTTATGCGAAGACTTTGTCCGTCTGTCCGTCTGTCTGTCATCAGGATAACGGGAGAACGGATCCAGGTAATCGAAATCGGTTTTCGACATTATACATATGACCCCAGGGAGAGGATCCTATCAACTTTTGGGGTTGACCGGACCACCCCCACTGGCGCCAGGGGGAGTGGTCGGGGGCAATATGAGATTTTTGGTGCAATTAAACCTACAGATGCAACAGAGCAAAATTAAATGTTCCCTAGTTGTGCCACACCCCCTTGGCGCCAAGGGGTGTGGTCGGGGCAAAATGAGATTTTTCAAAAATTGAATCTATAAATTAAGCAGCGAAATTAAGCAGCGAAATTAAGTATTCCCGCGATGTCATGGGAGCGGTTGGGATGAAGTAGACTGAAGCTACTTCCTTATGTGCGTTTATGACGGTTTATTTTACCATGCTTTGAATACTAAATAATGAATGCTCTCATTTTAGTCTAACTGTTACATAGGTGAGAAGTATTCCATATTTGCAGATTTGTTGTAGGTTTTGTACATACACGAGCAAGTCGCCGTTCATAAATTATGTAACGCAAAAACTACGATTGTTTAGACTCATCTTTTAACATGTGTCACATATGTAGACATTGTTCGTCTGATAAGTTGGGTACAATCTTACCTTGCCCTGTACCAGGTGTAGCCCAAAGACTGCAAATCTTCATCAATATTGCGCTCACAACTGCGATATATACTGCCATTGCGACGTACTCAGAAATTGTAATCCAGGTAAAAGTTTTGCATAACTGCTCCTGATCCGCCGTAAGGTTCAAGGCGGCTTTAAACGTCCTCAGCTGTGGCATTATGCAGTACAAGGTCCCCAAAATCGACACAATGCAGACAGCCAAGTCTAGCGAATTCGTCTCCATTCCTAACTTCCCGGGTTTCGGAACAACCTGGGGAACAAATTTTGATACAAATTTCACTAGACTTTATGGAAATTAGAAGTCTATAGACCAAGCAACAGTTTATATTTTTTCCATAAAATTTGTATTGGATATGGGACTGATTTCATAACTACTGTAAAATTTCCTGCTTTTGATACTATGTGTTTTTCAAACAGTGTCTTACAATGTAAGTCTTTTACGTGTACAACTCAGATCGGTTGGGACCAATTTTATTTTGTTCACCACAAAAAATAAGCATACCCGTATTTTTTCATTTTTCATAATGCGCTAATTTGAGCGCGAGGCGCGAATTTTGAAACATTTTTCAGCCAAAACCTCGGTTTTTTAAAATTCTATAAATTTTCGAATTTTAGCGCGAATCCAAAAATTCGAAAACATGTCTCTTCAGAATGACTTACCTGACTTACGAATAATCCAATTGTCTGGAAATTTGAATTTCAAATTTTTTGCCAGTTTTTGAAATCCATTAAAATTATCAACTCTTTCAAATTTTTAATTTTTCGAAAAATAACGCATGTGGATTTTTCATAAGTCAAGTAAGTCATTCTGAAGAGACATGTTTTGGAATTTTTGGATTCGCGCTGAAATTCGAAAATTTACAGAATTCTTAAAAACCGAGGTTTTGGCTGAAAAATGTTTTAAAATTCGCGCCTCGCGCTCAAATTAGGGCATTATGAAAAATGAAAAAATATGGGTATGCTTATTTTTTGTGGCGAACAAAATAAAATTGGTCCCAACCAGATCAGAGTTGTATACGTAAAGACTTGCATTGTTAGTTTAGAGTTTTTTTATGAAAGTTTAAAGATCATCTGTACTTTTTAACATTGGTCGGTATTGGCAAGAACTTGAGGAGCAAAATTAATAAATTCTTTAGCATCGAGTTTTCCCCAGCAATAAATAAACCCAGCAATTTTGCATAAATTTAGGTGTCGGGATAATGACTGGAGGGGACAAACGTGTATAATTCGTCCCCAAGGTAATTCACCACTTCAACCCTAGGAGATGAGTTTTTTCATACCTTTCACCCCTAGTAACCGCGAATTTTTACCTCCCTTGACCCCGAAATTTTTATCTACTGCATGACGTTAATTCCTGGGCTATGAATTAAAAAATGGTGTTCCCACCGGAATTATTCTGGACACTTTTTTATGAAAATTGATGTTAATAACCTTTCAAGAAGGGATTTTGAGTTGTAATTTGCATTTTTGAGTTGCGGCGAACCACCAATGTTTATAGCCGAAAATAGCCAACACGCCGAATTTTAAAAATGATTGTAATTGCATGAAAAGTTAGACAAGCATGGAGTAATACTTGCATAATAGTACGTAAACTCGCAAATATTGATTATAGCGCCTAAAGCACCTTAGGAGCCGATTTTGGGCGGGAAAACCAAAAATCCTTACAATGACTTTAAATAGACAGCAATGACAATGAATAATTATCCCGTGAGAGGAAATTGCTCGAAAATAGACTATGACGCATCTGGTGAATAGAAATCAATTTTAAGCGGGAAAATTAAATTCTACTAATTCCTGGCAATCTCTCAATTTTTAATTTTCCCGCCCAAAAGATATTTCAGCGGCACCCGATACGTAATCATTAATTTTGACGTAGTTTACCCTACCGGCAAGATTATTTGTGGTATTAATTAAATCCATGCAATGATGCAATTCATCAAACTTTTAGTTTTCTCGCCCAAAACGCCCGTTTGTGCTAAATGCGAGCAAAACAATTTCTCTAATCTTATCGTAAAGCGTTGTTGAAATAAATCGGTGTCGAAATTTCCCTGCAAAAAACAGTTTTCACAACTCGGCGTGTTGGCTAGATATAGCCACTTGGCTATAAATTTATTTTGCATCCCTTTCTAATGTTATTTCCTAAGAGACAATTTATCTTCCCGCCTAAAGGGCGGGTTGTTGACTCATAACTCTTGCTTTGCTTTGCTTGGAGAGGCAATGACCTAATTTTTTCCGGATACAACACATAGTCGTAGGCCGGTGTGAACGGAAAATACGCCACATAGTCGTATCCGTTGTCAAGGGTCAATACGACACATCGTCGTATTCCGGTGCCAAGGGAACTTACGCCACATGGTCGTACTCGGCGTAAAGGTCAAATACGCCACATAGTCGTTATAGGGGCGAAGTGGTTAAACAATGTACGTATCTATTGATTATATTTTTACCTTTTGTCCTAAACGGTAAACACAATGGCAAAAAAATGTGCGTATATTGGTTTTAAAAATTTAAATCTTGTCATTAGTTTTATGTGTACTTGATCCGTGATTGAAGTGACAACCGAATACCTGGAACTCTAACCGTGTAAGAATAATGACATTCTTTACAATGTATGTTTTCGAAATGTTTATGTATTATCTCACCTTTTTTGCAAATTTATTGGTCAAAAAATATTCTCCACTAGTTAAAAACTTCATGATTTCACCAAAGTTTGCGGAGAAACTAAGAAAAGTAAAAAAAGATGAACTCACTAGAACTGACGTGCATCTGCCCTTATTGTTTATAACCCTGAAGATGGGGACCTGCATAAATTGTGTGGGTAAAGCATTCTAAGGAACTCGGCATTATTATATTCTTGTGCAAAGGTCAAATTCCGTATTAAACTAGTTGAGGATCCGGAATCCTTTGTGCATGCCTCCCATTCTGAAAAGGATCTTTTTCAGGTAGTGAAAAGTTCCTACCGACCCTCCGGCTTCTATCAGTATTCTTATATCCTTGCAATGCTAAGTATTAACCTCAATGATGTTGTCCCCAGAATGTGGCACAGTTCGGCGGCTCATGCACTTATTAAGGAAGAAATGATGGCTCAAATTTAGTGTGATATATAATGTATATATTTATGTCATATACATACATACATAGCTCCACTCTTAATAATTTGGTTGAATCAGGTATAAATATGTTATGTAATATATATACTCGGAACGCAGTATTTATTTGGTAATAATTTTCAACAGGATTACTACAAGTTTACCCAATCCCCACACGTTTGTGAGACCTTGCAAAAAGCATGCCCAATGAATTGATGACTATTTAGATGTAGGACCGCCTATGAGTTCGAGGTAAGTCATTTGACCTATGAGTTAGTGAGTTTGAGTTGAGGGTATAACCCGACCCATTAAGAAATGAGATACTTGAACAAGAAGAAGTTCGAGTTTTATGATGAGTTCAAAGGTCCCAACTTAAAACTCTGCAATCAGGTTATACTTGGTACATTTTGTAAAGTGAAGAATAATTTCTACTGACTTTATTTAGCGAGATAATTGATTGATATTAAAGTAACTAAAACAACTTGAACAATTCCAGAATGGGTACAAATGTTTACTCATATTCCTTGTGTTATCCCATGCATTCATTTGTAAATCTAGTGAGTTCGCTTGCTACCGCAGGTAATGAGTGAGGGTAAGTTTGAGAAAAAATGCAAATCTGGGGTGCACAGCAATAAGAGAAATTTGTGAGAGTACATATACTGAGATTGAATTTAATTAAAAATGAGCACAATTTTAAATTATGCTCAATTATATAAATTCATCCCATAGTGTTCTATAGTTATAATACATACACATTATGACGTGCAATGCTTCAAATCAAGCTTATTTACATACATGTATGAGAAGGTCTCCTGAGCGGAATGTGAATATTAAAATATAAAAATCTTAATGTGGAAATCTCACTTGCATCAACAAACGAATTCAGTTTAATGATTTATTTATATTTGCAATATGTAATTCTACAATGATATGATAGATTCGATCGGGTCCATACCTCATAAATAATCGACTCCATAGTCTATCGAACTCCGCCACATACGATATGGTCTGTTTCTGGCGGAGCTCGAATGTGCAATAAACAGGGCTTGAAGCATAGTAACCTAAACCTTTTGAAGAACGAAATAATTTTGAAAATCCTTCGCTTGACTAGATACGAAATAACCAGTACTACATCGATGTGAGCTTTATTATAATGAATAAGTTCGACCAAAAGTATTAAGAAAAAAGACGCATTTGAAATTGAAAAATATATGAAAATACTTCTAAGGTTAGTATCCAATTTTATTCCTGTCACTTCGTCAGTTCCGTCAGTATCGTCACCCATAACATGTAGTGATTTATTTTGTGACGTATGCCTGGCCAGGTTTCGTTGATTGGTTATTTTATTCCTGTGTGAATACCATCTCGTCATATTCTCATACCAGAGAAATTTGGTAAAGAAACCAAACTGGAGAATATCTTGAATTCGTTTTGACACTCTTGAATCTAAAACATTGAAAAATTTCCAGCCACTGATTTGCATGAATAAGTATTCTCGCCCAATTGTCCACTCGTTTCGGTGAGTATGCTTAGCCTCTAGCGTTACTTTAACATCTTCCAGTGTCCTAACAAATCCGAGAATAGCAACAGTAGGGCAAGTTCCATCTATTGACTTACCGATTGTGTGATCTAAATCTCTAGAATAGCCTACAACTCGATTCGTCAATCTAGACAGGATAGCGTTGTACCTTTTTACTGAGACGTCCGACGCAAGCGCTGTCGTTGTGCCGAGAAAACCTTGTGCGAGTGCAGAAAACTCAATTAATCTCAGTGGAGTCCGGGCTTTGACTTCAATCGAATGACTAAATATTTTATACTTTTTCTTATCTAGTACTTGGTCAAAATACAAAAACGGTTTTCTTGAAGCCGTAGCAACAATATTTTTCACGTTATCGCCTCTAAATGCGTTTGTGAGCACCATGGACCCTAAAACTATCCCAGTAGTTGCAATTATTAGTTTTACGCTTAAGCCACCCAGCCTGTTAGAACCTTGCTCAATTTGTAGTTGAAATGCGAAAAATATATGGAAATGTGAAGCATTGTCTGTGCAAAGAAATATAAATAGACCAACCAAAATGTTTGAAATTAAAATTGCTAGCCAACTTGCTGCATCAAATGCAAAAAATAATTTCAACAGAGAAATTTTTATGTTGTAATCCCTCCCACAGGAAACAAAACTATACTTATCGACACTCCTGGCAATTCGGTAGCCATCTTTGGACGCAGTATCCACAAATGGTCGTCCAGCTGTATCAACTACATTACCAATTACATGAACATAACGCGCAGTGGCATTAACCTCCTTTAGTAAAATTGACAAGATGAAATCACTCATAGTGGCCTGACCAGGCAAAACAATATTGTCTGTTGCAGTGATGGCTGATAATCTTACAAACTTTAAAACTGGTACAAGCCTGGGTAATTTTGGTTGATATATTCTGTGTGGCATGTGGACATTGACATTTGCCCGATTTTGTATTCTATTAAATTTGGTCTCGATCACATCATTCAAACTTGCTAAGCTAGGAACGAATGAATCTTCGCCATACTTTACAAATATTCTTCCAGATGGATTACAGTATTTACAACACATCAATAATTCAATTACAGCGATTCCAGTTATTTCGGTCGTCTTAAATTTGTCAGTTTTAGAATAAATTGTATTGCAGTTTAGGATGATAAGGTCCAACATGTCGTTGTATTTAAGGAAATCATTCATTCTTGAATTCCATCTAGACTGTAAAATATTTGTAGACCACATGTCGTTCAATTTTACCAGGATTTGGTATCCCCTCCTCGGATATGAGTTGAGCCCGAGTGGATATGTCCTACCATAAGTTGCAAATGTTTCCTCATCAAGCTTGGGATACTCCCAAGTGGGTGAATTTGGGAATAAATAAAATCTTGTGAAACAATTCCAATTCTTTTGTTGTGTTTTAAATATTATGGGACATGAGGGTTTGCCTTCCATTTCAGAATGACTTGCATCTTTTTCCTGATATTTGAAAGGTGTGGAGCCGTTAATTGCTAGGAAGAAATGAAACTGTTCATCATTGGAGGCACTCTTGATCTGGATAAAATCGTAACGTACAGGTTCATGCCGAGATAAGATTACTGGGGTTGAGATGGATTGAACATGAGTGTAATTGTTATTAATTAAATGGACGACGCAAGGTTGAAAGATATTTAAATATAAGTCCAAGTTAGTGAAAGGTATTGTAGTAAAATCATTGTCAAAATGAGATGCTCCACAGACAGGGTTCATTGTTTGGAATAGAAGGAAAAATAATTTCGCTTTTTCAAAATGTAGTGGCATTTTGTCTGGCAGGAAATTATCCAAGAAATTTAACCTCTAAAATAAGTGAAATGTGCCAGAGGTTTGAAAAATGCAACAACTTGAACAAACCAGTCATGTTGAGTTGTTGATTTCTAAAAACCTTTTGAAGGTGGGTTTATACTTGACACGTGTGCATATTCCTTCGTACAATGAGAGAAAAACACTTCAGTAAATGAAAAAAATTGTTTTTGTTCCAGATACAAAATCGTGTTCCCGATACACTCTCTTAAAGATACCCTTACCCTTTGGTAGGACTGCCAATGAGATAAATTTAGCTAAGTTGATGGTTAACTCAACTCAACTTAAGAAAAATCGTAGAACTCTAATTCAGTTCAAGTTACATAAATTCGTCTCAACTCAAATATTTATGACTCAACTCATATTACACGATCAGACTGATTTTTTAAAGTAACGTAGTTATTAAATAAAATATTCAAAACAGGTTACAAAATCTCTTTCGAACTTTTGATCTCTATTTCCTCGAAGACACCATCTTCCCGAAATTGAATGAATTGCTTGATTTGTCAAAACATTTAGTTTCCCATTTTTGTATGGGGCTTTTTAAAATATTAATTCATATATAAATCATTATTTGCAGGCATGAGTAAAGTATATGAGCAGCTGTATACATACGCAATAAAATATCCTTCTTATATATGTATGATCCACCCCAATCTCCAGTGAAATATTCAAGACCTGTCCAACTCTATTAAATAATTCAGTCAAATATATATACTCTTGGAAATCAAGTAATAACACAATATCGACCGCGTTCTTAATCATTATGTTACGCTTCTTAGAAATACCTTAATTTGACTATTTTACACTAACAATGGAACCATATTCAAGCTACACCGGAATCTATTAGCGAGTTATGTCAAAAAATCAAGCTAAAAATTAGAAACCACATAACCCTTATCTTTATGTTGAATGTCTTTTTTGAATAAAAATATTAGAAGTCAAAGTTCACACGAGCGCCTTGCTTTTTGGGTCTTGGAGGAAAAACCAAGAGAAAATTTCCTAGGGTTGAAACATGTTTAAATATATGTCCAGGTTGGTGAGAGGTATTCTGGTCGAATCATTGTCAATATGAGCTGCGCGACATGGAGGGGTTATTGTTTGGAATAAAATGATAAATAATTTGGCTTGTTCAAGATTGAGTGGCATGAAACGGTTATAATTGAAACCTATACTGTTTGGCAGGAATTTATCCAAGAAATTTAAACGTTGAAACATGTATAGAGGTTTTAGAAATGCAATACTCGTGAACAAACTTCGTTGAGGAGTTGTTGGTTTATATAAACCATCTGCAGGAAGG